AAACCTCCATTTTCAGCTGCACAGTCACTGGGCGTGTTTCGGACATGCAGCCTGCTATGCTATGTTTGAATAATGTCGGTAAACAAAGTTAAGTAAAACCTCTGTGTTAGAGGAATTCATCATGCATTCAGTTATTGATACAGAAATGCATACATGTGCTTTAATGCTGGGTCATAATTAGCCAAACACAGAGAGCTGCTCAGTGTGTTTGTGAGCTGTTGTTCAGTCACCAAAGGCAACGTCTCTAATGTTGTGGCCCTAATGGAGGCGGCACTAAGGTCTATGACGTGATGAACAGAATGATATTCCTGTCCTCCCACAGTCCACAGACACGCTTGTTCACTGGTGAGTCTACACTGGCCACAGTGAATGTGAGTGGGGCTGCCCTCTGTGCCTGCAGAGCTGAGAGCGGCTCCAGCTGTTTATGACCTTCATAGGAAGTTTCTTTGTGCTTTCAAACGAGCTTTGCATTTATTTTTCTTCTATTTTTGACAGACGTCTGTCGTGATCTCTGTCTCTATCGCTTTTTTTCAAACCCGCTAACTAAAGATAGCCTGCCCATATCAGACCTGCTTACTACTCCAGTGTCCTGTTTTAGAAAGCCAGTTTCAAATAGTCAGGATACCCAAGTCTGGCACCACTGACAAATGTTACCAACCAGCTGACACAGCTAGCACAGAGCCACAGATGCTACTAAAAGTTATTTTCAAAAGACGTGTGAATGAAATGTTCCTACATAAGGTGGAGCGTGAGGGAAAGGGGCTGTTTCAAGTAAAACATTTGAGGGACTTGTGATTGTATCCTGTTATGTTCTGAAAGATTCCTGCAACGCTTCATTCTAAGAGTGAGGAAGACCCCAGTGCAGCAGCACGAGTCTGTTTTCAGGAGTTACGGAGGCTGGAGGTGATTAATAATAATAATATTAATAATAAATAATGATTAATGCTGTGAACACGTCAGACGTGCAGTTTGAAGGTTCAGCCTTTGGTTAATGAACGGTTCTAAATTGGTTAGTTAGTGTTAATGTGAGCCATGCGGGGTTATTACAGTTAACTACAAGACTTTTTAGTTCATAACATAAAACTAAACATTTTCAAACAATAACGACTAAACTGAACAAAGAAGCTCTTTCTGGAAAACGACTCAAACTAAACTGAATCAAAAGCAAAAAGTCCAAATGAAATAAAACAAATGAGAAAATAGAAAACGATGATAACATTCCCCTAAAGTCAGCCCTGTGGACATGTTTTTGATACACAACCTGCAGAAAGCTTGTTTAAATGTACCCAGTTAAACCCCCGTGGCAGCTGTGTCGCACCGTCCACAGGACGCCAGCAGCAGACCGCAGCTCACTGGAGCAAGGCTGCACTTATCTGTGTACTGTCACCTGGATGATGACCAAACGTTTCTCCCACTGAAACAGATGAACAGAACCAACCTTCTGGGATGTCCTGACCTGGACTGAGCATGAACTGCACTCTGAGCAGAAACATTTCTCTGCGGCTGCAGGCAGACTCATTGAATCAGTGACTCACTGACAGAGTGGGCTCAGCTCTTTGATCAGAGCGTTATCATGATCTGGAGACTGCTCAGTGCTCTGCCACAGGAGGAGCCTGTCAGTCATCCAGCTCATTACATCTGATCGTTCTCAGTGTGTTGTTGGTGTTTCGATGGCGAGGTGATTCTTAGTCTGACGTGTCCCGCACACAGGAAGGACAAACAGGAGGAGTGGAGGGATTCTGCTTAAGTCAAAATGTCCTATATCTACCAGTGGCTGGATGTGCCGTGGGGAGACGGAGATATGGGTATGTTGGACGTGAGACTGTGTGTGGGTCTGTGGTGTGTGCTGCAGTGACAGCTGGACGTGCTGACGCCCTGCTACACAACAAGTAAAC